GTTATTAAAGTGAAAACCATAACGCACCAAGTTAGAGAGTAACCTTTTCGAAGTACCATAGAATAAAATACCTGAAAACGAGGATCACAAGTAAGCAGAATGTTTTCCGCTGGAGATGTTCGGTTGTCTACTGATGGATTTGGTGCAAATGGTGTGCCGATGGCAGGTACAGGTGTTGTTGACGGAAACGGCATACTTGTTCCTCGAAGACCAGAAAACGAACTCATTCCGCTAGACGGCAAACCACTTACTCCTGCCACAGTAGTCGTAGGTGCAAAGTTAGGCAGTGTTGTAGATGTTATGCTTGTGGATGGTGCATGGTTCTGCTTACCTTTTTCGATGACCTGCTCGAAGTTTCCAGTCGGGGGAGATCGAATCATAGGAGTACCTATAATATAATCGATATCATCTAAAGGCTTCAACTCTTCTTTTATCTTCACTAGCAAAGTGTGTTATAAGATCTCAAGTTTTTACAACAACGAAAAAAACTGTGTACTGCTGGCGTAACAATTGTTGTTAAGAACAACCTTGAGTGATAGAACCCCTTAATTGAGCAGGACCACTGCCCGATAACTTCATTAATGATGAACTCTGATGTAACATGTCTTCCGACAGGGTAAATTTACACTGCGGCAATGGAGCCTCCTTTTGTTGCTGAAAGTAACAAAAAACTTCTGACGAAAAATGGAGGCACTGGAAGCACAAAAAACCAAAGCAGTAACCAAACAGAATCTAATTAAAAACTATTTAAACAAAATCCGCTCACTATAGTCGATGCAGCCGAATAAGCAGGCTTCGGTGATGCAGTAACAAATGGCTCAACTTTCGGAGAAGCAACAGCTGGAGATTCTGAGGAAATCGCCGCAAACGATGTTGGAAGTTGATTGACGCTACATGGTCGCGATCCAATATCGTCACTGTTTTGTAATGATTTCGAAGAAGAAACAACTTCGACTTCTTTTTTCACAATTGATGACACAACATTATCCGACGCCTCTTCCTCGCGATGTAAACTATGAAACTTTGGTTTATACAGAGGAATCGAGACAGTCCCGATTTTCCGTGTGTTAGGAATATCATCTTTTTTTGTTGATTCCTCCGGTGCTTCGACAGCCCCAGCTCCTTCGCTACAATAAATTGTCCTTCAGCACACCGACAGCAATTTTAATGACAGAAAAGTTTCAGTATTTGTATTTAAAATTAGAATTTAATCCATCATATTTTCTCCTTCTGTGACTAAAATTCACCATACACCAGCTCTCTCCAAAACTTTTTCTTGATGAAGCTTCATTTTCCATTCCTCAAAAAAAAAAAAAAAAAAAAAAAAAAAAAAA